TTACCCACTGGGGGCCTTCTGCATTCCTCCAGCGGCGTCGCCGTCCGCGAGGCCGCCGCCCACCTTGTCGCCCTGGGCAAGGAGAGGGTGGATAGAAAGAAGAAACCGAGAGGGAGGGCGACGAGCAGGAAGAGCAGGAACGCTGTCCTGCGCCTCCTGGGACTGGCCCTGCGGGGTTGCCGGCACGCTGGGCGGGCAGCCACTCGGCCCAGCCGCGCCCGCATGCGACGCCAACTGGCCGCGCCCGCCACTCGGCGCAGCCTCGGGGCACCTGTCAGCGTAGATCTCGGGCGGGACCGTCTTCTTCGAAGCGATGATGGCCGCCGTCAGGTGCTCGACCTCCATCTTGCAGCGACGCGCCTCGTCGAGCTTCTGCTGATCCTGCGACGCCTTCACCGCGCTGTCTATGTCGTCGTCGCGGGGCTGCTCAGCTAGCAACCTCGACACCCGCTTGGCTGCCTTCATCTCCTCGTCGTCGGTGCTGCTGATCTCCGCATCCGCGGCGGCGGCGGCCCCATCCACGGCGACCGATGGTGTAGCAGCCAGCTGCGAGGCTAGCTCAGGTGGAACTCCGTCTGCGAAGAGCGCATCGCCCATCTCGTCGTCCCACGTTGCCCAATCTTCCTTGGCGCCATTCTCCTTCAAGTTCTTGATGTGAGCACCGAACTTCATCTCCTGCGGGCCCCCTGGGATCGTCTCTGCATCCGCGGGCGTGTCACTCTGCGACCCACGCGCGCCTGACAAGGGCCCGATCTCGGGGACGGGGTCGGCCTGGCAGACGGGGGTGACCTCCTCGAGCGGCGGCGTGCGGACGTCGTTGACCTCTATGAGTGGCTGCTCGGGCTCGCGGACGGTCGCCTCCTCGATCGGCTGCTCGGTCTCGTGGATGGTGCCCTCCACGGTCGGCGGCTGCTCGGGTTCACGGGTGACGCTGGGCACGGTCGGCGGTTGCTCGGGTTCGCGGCTGGCGCTGGCCTCCTCGAGCGGCTGCTCGGGCACGCGGACGCCGCTGCCCTCCGAGTCGCCGACGTCGATCATGTGCGGCTGGCTGTCTCCACCAGGGCCAGATAGCTGCGAGCGCAACTGCGCGATGAGACTCTCACGTTTCTCCAGCTCCGCCCCGAGTTCCTCCACAGTCGGAGATGACCCCGACATCAGGCTGCGTCCAATAACAGTAGTTTCCCAGGATTTTGGTATATGTTGCCACTCTGGTGCCCACGTTGGCATATTGCACCTCTGAACCAAAACGGCTATGATCACTCTCCTTCTCCTTCTCCTTCCTTCCTCCCTCCCCGCCCCTCTCTCCTCTCTCGTTCTCTCTCTCTCTCTATCTCTCTCCTCTCTCGCTCTCTCTCTCTCTCTCTCGCTCTCTCTCTCTCTCTCTCTCTCTTATGTCTCTCTCTCTCTCTCTTTCTCTCTCCCTCCCCTCTCTCTCTCCCTCTCTTTCTCTTTCTCTTTCTCTTTTTTTTGTTCTCTCTCTCTCTCTCTCTCTCTCTCTCTCTCTCTCTTTCTCTTTCCCCAAGCACGCTCGAGCGCGCGTGCGGGTGGGTCTTCCCAATCCTCCTCATCCTCCTCCTCCTCCTCCTCCTCCTCCTCCTCCTCATCCTCCCTCCTCCTCCTCCTCCTCCTCCTCGTCCTCATATTGCTCCTCTTGTCTCTCCTCCTCCTCCTCCTCCGTTGTCATCGTCATCATCATCATCCTCATCATCATCATCATCACCATCATCAGCATCATTATCATCATCATCATCATCATCATCATCATCATCATCATCGCCATGCAGCTTTTCAATAGAAACATCTGTTTTCATGCAACATCACCCACATCATGCTCTTCCAGCCTTAAATGACATCATTTTGTATGTCACATAATAAATGACATGATTGTTGTTTTGTACATGTAAATTGACATCATTTTTGGTTTGACTAGCTAAAAGGTTATCTTATGTGGGGGACACGAGAAACTGATGTCAAACAATCTCTGGGAAGGAGGGCGAGCAAGAGGAGGAGGAGGAGGAGGGGTCCTGCAGGGACCAGGACCGACACCGGGACCGGGACCGGGACCAGGGGAAGAGCGGGGCCGGGACCGGGACCGGGACAGGGACGGGGGGCCCAGGACGGGCAGCAGGACCGACCACGGGACCGGGGCCGGGACCGGGACCGGGGCCGGGACCGGGCACGGGGGTGCTGGTCCCGGTCCCGGTCCCGTGGTCGGTCCTGCTGCCCGTCCTGGGCTCCCCGTCCCTGTCCCGCTCCATGTGTCAGCTCTTTGTCCCGCTCCCGATCTCTGCCGTGCCGTTTGGGTTCGAGATCGCCAGCCATGAAGGTTAGGAAGCCCGACACAAGGATCGGGCGATGCCGCGTCGGCGAGAAGAGGAATAGGAAACCCGACACAAGGACGGGACGATGCCGCGTCGGCGAGAAGAGGGGTTTTCGGAAACCGGACCACAGACCTCATTCGAGCAAGCGCGCTGGGGCGGCGGCTCGACCCACGGCAGCGTCGGCGAAGGCGGCCGCGCGGCCGCTAGCTCGGCGCAAGGCGAGCTCCAAGAAACAAGCCCTCGCAGCAGCGGGGGCTGCTGTCTTGTGGTGTTGTGGGATGAGAAGACTGCTCGGAGGACAGGCGTGGAAGATGACGATGGGTTCGATCAGGCACTTTGGTACCGCGACCATTGGGGCAACTGGTACAAACTAGGGTCCAAGATGCCGCCAGTCGGCAGCTCCTGGCAAGAAGGCGCCGACCCCCTTCGGATGTAATTACGGAGCGGATGAACACGACAGTGCCCCCAGATGGTTGACTGTACGGTCCTCAGGATGACCGCGACATCCCGAGCGCACAAGGGGAGCGCCCCTCCGCAGCAGCGGAGGGATGTCCCGCGAATTTCGCCGAGGGGGGTGACCTCGGCGGAGGGGCGCACTCGCGCGCGCGCGGGGGAGCGCGGTTTCGCGCGTCGCGTGCGGCATCGCATGTGGCGTGGGGAAAAAACACGACATCTGTGCTGTCATCTGTGTCCTGCTCTCTCCTTTGCTTCGCTTCCCCTTGCACTCCCTCCTGCAATCCCCCGCCCGCCATTATGTCTTTGTAGTGATCATCGCTTCCATGCACGCAACTCACACAGCGCCCCCTTCTCTCACAGATGGGTTCGGGGTGGGAAATCTTTCTCTCACAGAGGGGGGGCCGATGTATCAATGATTCTCCTGTTCAGGCGGATGTGCGCGTATCGAAAAACTGAGAAGGCCGCGTCGACCCGCCGTTCGTCGCCTCTCTCTCTCTCTCTCTCTCTCTCTCTCTCTCTCTCTCTCTCTCTCTCTCTCTCTCTCTCTCTCTCTCTCTCTCTCTCTCTCTCTCTCTCTCTCTCTCTCTCTCTTCTCTCTCCTCTATCTGCCTTTCCTCTCCTTCTCCTTTTGCTCAAGTGCGGGCAGGCCGCGGATCCGCGAGGCCCCTCCTTCTGTCCGCGCGCGCGACAGGCACTCGTGCTTCAAGCGGGGCCCCGCAGCAGCGGGGGCAACCGTCGCGGAGCATCTGTTTTGGAAGCTGCCCCCGCAGCAGCGGGGGCGCCTGGATAGATGTCCGAGGACATCAAGTCAGGCCCCCTGAATGATGCCGCCACGTTGCGCAGCCGCTATGCCTTGAAGGACTCCGAGGGGCAGCGGTTGAAGGCCAAAATCTCCTTGGAGGATATCTGCGTCCACCCGCAGAACAGAGGTGGGACGCACCCCTCCGCTGCCAGAGTGGTTAATCTCCTGTGTGGCATTCTGAAAGACAGGTTCCTCTTGAACGAGGCGCAGCACGAAGCAGTGGTTGTTCAGGAACTCCCTGCGGGGAAGAAGGCCGATTACGAGCGCCTCCATGGCAGGCCGTGCACGGCGCGCGCGGACCACAACTTGCAGAAAACGGAGTCCGTGGAGGCTCTACGCTCGGCGTGCACAAGCTTGTCAACGTTCAACTACGGGGCGCTGAGCCACTGCACCCTAACCCTTGGTCTGCTGAGCCTCAAGCACGGCGCAGTGTGGGTCATCCCCGAAGACCACAAAGGATGTGGTTTGGAGGAGTTCCAGACAGGTACAGGTGGCTCCTGGGATATCCCAAAAATGCGTCGCGCACCGAAGTTCACAGAACTCATGGACGTGCTCGATAACGGTTTGCTTTGCGAGGTGCTCTCGTGGGAAATTCACTTCGATGCCGTCTTCGCGCAAGGCCCAGCGATCATTTCCGCGGCCCTGAACGACCCACAGGGAAAAGGTGTGACCTCTCACGAAATCGAGGTCCTGACGTCCGTCGCTGATTTCGTCGCCACCGCAGCAGCGGCGGGCAAGAAAGCATCGTGGGATCTGAGACAGGACACCCCGTGAATATCTCGTACGACACTGTTCTCAAGGCTTGCGCGCAACGACATCCCGAGTACGCCAAGGCCAAATGGTTCGAGGACATGTTCACTTTCGTCATCAACGTGGGGGCCGCATCAGGGCAGCTCATACCGCAAATTCTAGATTATGATCGACGTTGGGTGGATCACAAAATACGCTCCCTGGCACCAGCCACATGGGGCGTTCTCAACCAACTCCCCATAGATTGTCCCCGTGTGAAGGTTGCCCTTGTCATGAGGGCGCACTCGCAAGAGCCGAGGTTCGGGCAATGCCCCGCGCCAGAAACGGCTTGGGGACACAGCGAGGGCAGCAGTCGGGTACAGGAGCTCAATTCTTTGTTGGGGTATGTCCGTCGCACATTGGCCCCCGCAGCAGCGGAGGCCCACGGGGAGGAGAAGAGCGCGATTTTGACCGCGGGGGCGGTCCTGACTGCGACGGACACCTTCTACCAGGCGTACGTAAGGGTGAAGGCTAACAAACCTCGTCTGGAGGCAGTTGTGGAGGCCGTGTGCGAGACAGTGCGTCCGTACTATGCTGAAGTACGCGAGGCCTGGCAGAAAATGGAAAAGAACGCACAGAAAGAGTTCCCGCTCCCTCCTGCGCCGTGGACCGACAAGTTGCCCGCGGCCCCCGAGAACCCCGCTGGCCCTCGCAGCAGCGGAGGTGGCGAGGGCTCTCGCCCGCAGCCAGTATTGATAGAGTTCAACGAAGAAGACAAGCCTCTGAACAGGCAGATGTCTGAAGTGTCCAAGCCCGTGAACAGCCTGATGGTGGTCCCAGTGAAATCGTGGCACGCTTCGGCTCCGTCTGGCAATCTCGACACAGACAGGTGGCACCAAGCAAGCATCGCGGAAGTCATGACTGGCTTCCATCGTCACGCGGACACTTGCGCCCAACCCGTCCAGATGCAATATGACGTCCAAGCCAAGAGTGTCCATGTGGTGGCTACTGAGGACATCGCCGCGGGGAAACTGACGCTCTTCCCGTGCTGCCCCACCGCGAAGATTTTTCCCGGAAGTCTCGAGCAACCCGCGGGCAGTGGAGGTGCTAGTCGGTGAGAAACGTCCGACTCCTGTCGAGAAAATGGAAAAATATTGGGCACCACCTGATTTCAAATTACCAGAGCTGGAGCTCAAGCCCGCGCCGCAGGAAGCGGCCTCCGCAGCTGCGGGGGCCGCGCAGGGCGAGGCGCCCGTGGGTCCGCAGCTCGACGAGGCGGCCCCCGCAGCAGCGGCGCCTGCACAGGGCGAGGCCGAACAGGCAGAGAATCCGTACCAGTTTAAGTTCGGAGGTACCGAGTCCTTGCACTTCTTTTGGGGAGTTGAGAGGATGACGTCAGAAGAGCTTGCCCGAGCCCAGCTAGTGCAGGGACAGGAGCACTGGAAGTTCAACGTTGCACTTCGACCGCACGAGTTCCAGTCAATGACAAAGTGCCAACCAGCCGCCCCCCTCCGCGTCTGCAGCGTGCTTGTCCCGTGCATGCACAACACGGCGCCGCTGGTGCGCGGAGATCGGCTGATGCTGCATATCACAAAGGAGAAGAGGGCCACCGACACCCAAAAGGAGAAGCAGGCATGGCAAAAGGAGCAGAAAGAGCAGGAGAAGAAACGGAAGAAGGACGCCGAGGAGGGACGGAAAACCCCCAAGAGCGGCAAGATGACAATCCCTGGCCAGGGGGCCCACTTCGTGTGATCCCGCCGCAGCAGCGGAGGGTGCGCGAAACGGAGCGGCAGATGACAGCGGCCGATGATCCACCCGTC